ATTTTAGTCAAGGACCCAAAAACCAATTAAATAAAATTACACAGACTTTTTCAAACAATAACCTGGAGGTAATCACATTTTGATTATGAATATGAAAGCATATGTGAAAGCAGGTTTTTGAGTTTGGAAATCGTTCACAAAATATTCGCTCACAAAAAAATCGGTAATATATCAAGGTTGATAAATCTTGCTTTTTAAATTCAATAATACTTGTTTCCACTTACTGTATTTCTGGCTACATTCTACGATTAAAAACTCTGCCTACAGCCACTTTGCAATATACCTAGTCATATACACTGGGTGGTATTGGATTTTGTGACACAGTACAATGTTTTCATTTTTTTGTTTTGATACCGTAACTATCGTGCTTATTATCCACTCCGCTTGAGAAATTCAAAGCACATAGTCGCTGGTTGTTTATATAATGTACATCTTATCGCATAGCTCGATTGTACATTCTTGCACTGCCCGAGGTGTTGTGGGTAATGAATCAACGAAATAAAATCCACCACGAAGTTTGAATTGATCGGAAAAATGTTCTGCAATAATCGAATAATAAAAGTGAAAAAAGAAAATAATTTTTTTTGTGAGCTATATTAATAGTTCATGTGGAAAACTTTTGTATAAATTTAAATTTATCGGAATATACCTGAAACCATTTCATAAATTTTTTCCATTCACAATTCTTCATTCTTTGGGGATGATTCTTTAGTACAGTTTTTTTTTCAATTTTTCTTGAAAAATTCATCAAATTTCTACAAAAAGTGCTATGAAAATTAATCGTATCTAAAAGGTAACTTCATTTTTTTTAAATAGATTTCCTTTGAAAATAAAATACTTTTAAATTCACAAATGATGTGCTAAGAAAAAATGAAGACACCAACAATATTTTTTTAGCTGGGTGGTAAAATGACCGTGCCGAAAACAAAAGCTAAACAAATGACAATGAAAATCAAATTGAGGGGAGCAAAAGAGACAAGAAAATAAGCGAATGCAAAAATGGTAGCCAATATAATTGAATCAAAATTATAAGCCCCTCCATGAATTTCCTGATTTGTGGACGCGTCTGTTATTTAATAAATCGTTCTATTCTAATTTCTATATTCTTCTGTGGTAAACGAACTTTAATCGTCTTTTGAAGTACTGTTCAATTCATGCTACGTGAACACTTTTTTTTCTCTAGGGAATGCAAAAAATAAATATAATTGACAACATTTTGAGAAGCTGCAATGCGTGATAAAAGGTCTTATTTGGGGACGGGCGATTTTTTTTCTCTCGAAAACAAAGGCAAATAACGTTTTATTTATAAATGCTGCATCTATCTACACAGAAAACTGTGAAAGTAAAATACACGGTGGCTTATTGAAATAGAGATTGGCTCTAATCTGTCTTCATTCTTGAATGAAGATTCAATGTAAAACGATAAAAAGCTTTTATTAATAATGTAACAAGGTATATCCAAAAAATACGAAAAATAAAACCATCGGACGCATTGTAATTACTGAAAATAATGCGCAATACAATAACAATGTCCCAGTTTCTTCTTATTTTTTTATATTTTCTTTTTTTCGAAAGATATATAAAATTCTCCATGCATACATTTTGTAGAAGAAATTCGCATATCATCTGTTGCATAAGTTTTTGGAATAAATCAAACGATCGCCATATAAACACCCAACAAACAAACTAAAAAAAATTCTCAGTGGTAGTTAGCTTTATTCATAAACAATCCGAAAACACATTTACAGTACACTGAATGGACCATTGTCTTCGATTTTTCGAAGTATGTATCGAACCTTGTTTATCAGGCTTTGGCAGACCGATTTGTCCCTTTCTTTCAACTTTCTCTTAATCCATCCAACCAATTGTTGCACATACATCCAAAAACAGACAAGAAATAAATAATTTGGTGTCTTTTTGTGAAGCTTAAGAAATGGAGGTTTAACCTAACGTTTCAGCACTAAATTTTCGAATAATGGCTCTAAGACACCTTCCAAAGAAGATCCTACCATACAAACACCCCTTTATCAAAGTTCGGTTTGTCGACGTCTCTAGCCTTATATAGTAGTGCCCTAACATTATCAATGCAAAAGAAACCATTTGCATTTCATTCGTGGTTCGACATAGCGATGAATGTTTCACTATGCAAAATGATGAATTTTTCAGTGCAACATGCTATAAGGTGAAGTAAAAAGCCAATTTTGGAACGAAATAAACGCCTGAATTTATTCCAAAAACTTAAGCAACAGATGTTAAATGAATATCGCTTAAAATTTCCGATGATTTCGCAAGCTTGAACAGCAATGCATACCCGTCTGAAAGTATCGTAGAGATTAAACTCAACAAAAAAATGAGTAAATATGAAATCGATATCAATTTAAATTATTTTTAAAAGCGAATGAACTTTCACATGAAAAAAGAACCTTAGCCAATCGAAGGAAATACTCAAGTAGCAGCAGGTTCTCGTTGTCATTCTGTACAAATTGAGACACTATGTGCAATATTGTTAGTATCAAGCTTAGTAAATATATTTATATACGTAGATAGAAATCATAATATTTTAATTAAGAGTAGTTTGCTAAAATTCAATCTCGTATACAATCAAAGACAGACATTATATTGAAATATTTTTAGCCAGATGAATCAGCTCAGGCAACTGACGTCAGGCGAAGAAGATAGTGATAGAAGTGATTGTTATAGTTATAAAAACACTTCCATTCTACAATCAATTCTATTGTTTTCACTCCATTTCAGCTCCTGACGATAACAGCCTGAGCTGATTCACAATATAATGTCTGGTCGAAGAGTAAATATTGTTATATGCGGGTCTTCATTAAAACCCCATTTCTACTATTTTTTTTATATATTGGTAGTAGTAGTTAAAAATGTCGTTTTTTTGTAAAAATACAACATTATGCGTGTCATTACTTTGACAGTGACAATTAGTGTATCCTAAATAGCGTCAAAAAACTATCAAATTCCATCTGTCAAAGTGAACACAAGTTTATACACACAAGTTTTTTATTGCGTTCAAAATGTCGAATTTCGTTCCAACAAAAGAGCATTTGCGGGAAGTTTTAATTTGCTTCTTCCATCTAAAGAAGAATGCAACTGAAGCACATCGTTTACTCACTGAAGCATATCCGGACTATGCTGTAGACATTAGAATATGTCAGCATTGGTTTGCACGATTTAAAAGTGGTGATTTTGATACGGAGGACAAAGAACGTCCTGGCCAGCCTTGGAGGCATTACTCGATGAAGATTCTGGTCAAACGCAAGAAGAACTTGCGAAATCGTTGGGAGTAAGTCAAAAAGCCATTTCCGATCGCCTAAAGGCTCTTGGATTCATTCAAAAGCAAGGAAATTGGGTACCACATGAATTGAAACCAAGAGACGTTGAAAGACGATTGTGCATGTCCGAAATGCTGCTTGAGCGCCACAAAAAGAAGTCGTTTTTGCATCGACTTGTTACCGATGATGAAAAATGGATTCATTACGACAACCCGAAGCGCAAGAAATCATATGTGAAGCGCGGAAAACGAGCCAAATCAACGCCAAAGCAAGATATTCATTGTGCCAAGGTAATGCTCTGTATTTGGTGGGATCAGAAGGGTGTCCTCTATTATGAGCTATTAAAACCGGGTGAAACGATCACGGGAGGCCTGTACCGAACACAATTGATCCGTTTAAAGAGAGCATTGAACGAAAAACGGCCAGAATATGCGACCAGACATGAGTCCATAATTTTCCATCATGACAACGCTCGGCCTCACATTGCTCAGCCGGTTAAGAACTCTTTGGAAAAAAGTGGATGGGAAGTTTTGCCCCACCCGCTGTATAGCCCAGACATTGCCCCTTCTGACTATCACTTGTTTCGATCGATGCAGAATGCCTTGTCTGGAATACGCTTCACTTCAATTGAAGGTATCAAAAATTAGCCTCAAAAAATGAGCAGTTCTTTTGGCGCGGAATCCATATGCTGTCAGAAAGGTGGGAAGAAATCATAGATAACGATGGCCAATACTTTGAATGATATGTTATTTACAGAATTTATTAAATAAAGTTGTATTTTTACAAAAAAAAACGTCATTTTTAACTACTACTACCAATACATATATCTTATTGTGCATTGCAGATTATATCATCCGTAATCAAAGTAAATCCCAGCGTTCTGTGTGTAGATTTGTATAACTCTTCACAATTTTTCTCACTCGAGTTGACCTTTTGCGTCATGACAGGCAAAGGAGCTACCTACAATCGGCATTACTTCAGAACTTGGACTGAAACTAGGTACTAAACCATAGATGGCGATGTCCTCTCATTTAAATTTAATACAAGATATAGTATTGATATTTAGTATAACATTTTTGGTTCTAAAATAATGCTGTTTAGACCGTGATCATCACCACCAGCATCAGCATCATTACTGACAATCTAAAACAGTTTTTCAACGACGATAAATGCGTACATTCGTAATGGTTCACGCTTACGTCAGAGAGTTGTGAGAATGCGTGCGAAAAAAGTTTGTTATAATACCTCTAGTGGCAATGGCAATGGGTCAAAAACACCTTCGATCGCATTAATGTAATGGATGACTACATCTGTGTCCCTCGATAATATAATGATATTATAAAATATGATGGAATAAATAAAACTCAATTGTTTATGGATGAATTATCTTGTTTGTTTTTTTTTCTTTAAAAGTACAATATTTATCGTATTTTCCATTTAAATGTAAAGTTTTGATTTGTTGTTGTTTTTAGCTTACAAATTGATTAAAATTACATGCCAAAATAAATTGATACTGTACTTTGCTGTGTATGTGTTTATTTTTTGTATGTTTTGATTGCTTATTTTAGATGCATAGTTACTATTGCGAAGAAAAACAAGAAGAAGAAGGATAAAAAAAAACATTTTTTTTTGTTTAAATATCGAAATATCGAATTCAGTGTGTATGTGTTGATATGTGCATATTCTCATTTTATGTGTATATGTGTACTAAATATGTTTGATGTTTTCAGTTCCAAAAATGAAACTGATTACAAACGGGCGATTTTGTTTTTGTTACAGATTTCTTCAAACGAATTTTTTTTTGCTTATCAGCTTGAGCTCAACCATAAATTGCAATGATATGTGAATATATATGTATATTTGTAATACTAATTTCTGTTGGATTTTCTCCCATTCTCTCCCATAAACATATCGAGAGCGAACAAAAATAAGAACAAATCCAACACTATTCTGATATGAGTTCGTGACTTTTGTGTGATTGATATCAATATATATGAATGTATGTTATGTATGAGTACGTGGGAGAAATGGTTGGACAATTTGCCATCCGATGGATACAGCAAATGGATAAGTTATGAAATAAAATTGATGAAAAATGTATATCCAGTTTTACAGAAGTGCGACTGATTTTAATCTCTGTCAATTCTTAAACTATATGTGATATGGATTGCAGCATATTCAAAAATCGATTTTATCCCCCCCCCCAAAACGAAGAGAAAGAAGTGTTACAGAGCTATGATATGGATTAAGCACGAATCCAGGTTGATGATTGCATCAAAATTTGTGAGTACCAAATTTTGCTAATTTATCGAACTGCCGGATTCGGTAATAATATTCGGTATTTTTTGGTACATTTCGCTCTTTGATTTTACAGAATTGTGCTCTGGATGATTGATTTCATGCCAGCAAATGCGAGCGCACAATATAAAAGCGTTTTGGATCCAAAATGTCCGCATAACATCAAATCTCTAAGAAATTAAATAGAGATATGTGTATGAACTATTATAATAACATATTATTACACTACAGTGGGGTGGAGCGCAGAAATGCAGAAATTTCAATTGAATTGCAATTTTTGTTGTTGTTGTTGTTAAAAGGGGTTAAAATTTTAAAAATATGCGCTAAGAGTGTAGTATGTTTAGATGAATTTAAATAGATTTTCAACTGATTTGTATCACAATAAATTTTATATAGCTTTTTATTTTGATCGTTCGTGTATGTACTTCTGTTATTTTGATTTAATTTAATGGCAAGCGATCAAAAGTAATTTCAATTGAATTCACGAAATTCTATTGCTTTTTATGACGAAACTTCGAATTTTAGAACATAATTGAGTGCGAATACGCTGAAGAAACAAAAAAAAAAAAAAAAGAACAGCAGAAGTAACAGATGATGTGTTGCATATTAAACTTAGTTAATATTTCTCTTATCGACAATTGTATATATTTATAGATTTATGAGCAAATAAAAGGATTGTATTGCCATGAATGATACACATATATATTTTTTTTTTGTTTGAACTGCTTTGCATCCAATAAGTATATAAGACCGTCCAAAGCCGTCAATTATTGCTTTTGTTAATTGCTTTCATAGTTTTTTGTGTGTATGTGTGCGTATTTCTCTTTCTCATCGCATGCATACTTTCAGCGGACTGAATTTGATGGTTACCTTTTGAGGATTAGTTTGCCTACCCCTGATATGTTCGTCGAATGCATATATCGCAATTTCAACGCAATTGAAAATCATTTTGCATCAAATTTACAAGTACTTAATATTTATCATATATATTTTTTTTTTCACTAAATTTTTTTTTCTCGTAAATTTTTTTTCATAATTTGTTTTAACAATATATACTTTTTTTGTTTTCTTGCTGGACGGCATTCGGGGATTTATTTAAAAAATAAAAATTGAGCAAATTGTTTTCAATTCAGTGTTTTTTCTCTCTATATTCCTCTAACTCTGATTGGATTGATTTTTGGAAGGAAAAACTTCGTGTGTTCGTTGTTATTGTTCACGCGGTATGTGAGATACTTCAATTTTGATCATGCCCATTTATATGAATTTTAGCCGTGTGCATTTGTTGTGGTAACGTGCTCAGTTTAAAGGCGTTTAATTCGCAAACATAACTTGCACGCATTTCCAAAGTTTGTGTGTGTGTGTGTGTGTGTGTGTGTGTGTGTGTGTGTGTGTTTAATAACAACAACATCATTTGATTTTATTTCTGAGTTTGTTGTTATCGTCCCCTGTTTCAGCGAAGCGCCATACATATCTGTTGACCTTTGTTTGGTCAATGTGTGGCCCTAATTAAACTATGATACTGATGTTTCTTCGGTTGAAAAGTGAATTTAACTGAAATCCCATGCTACTTTGATTGTAGATTGGGCTACAGCAATAGCAGTGCTATTTTCACAGCTCCTATTCATAGGTGCTATTTTTGAACAACGCAGACGGACAGCGATTTTATGATACAATTCCGGACAATACACTTATTGATTCATTTATACAAAAAAATACTAAAATCAATAAGTCTATTGTTCTATTTATATTTTGAACATCTCGTTCGGAATTGCATCATAAAGTTGCAAATAGCGCCTATGAATAGGAGCTGTAGCTCAATCTATTCACTGTCGTTTATCGGAATTTAGATACAGTTAAAACATCAGCCCTATTTATTCGTTGAATTTCATTTTAACTTCTATCCTTAGCATTACTATATATTGCATTAAAAGTTATGTTGAAGAAAAGAAAAGTAAAATTAATATATGAATAGCTTATGAATTTCAAAGACAAAAAATGAATTCGGTCAATTTTATGTGCCAAACTAAAAATCTATTAAAAACAACTATTTAAAATTATAGAATAAAAAAAAAAAAAAAAAAAACAAATGAAAAAGCCGAATGGCTCAGTTTTTCTCAGAGCAGTCAGTTTGATGGTGGTTTGCAAAGAATGAATAACTATGACGATATTGTCGTTATCGTTACATTTGGCGGCATATTTTTTCATTAAAGACATGGGTCACAACGGTTGCGAATTTCATTCGACCATATCCGTTGTGTTAAACTCGGATTTGTGGTCGATGGGACATTGGTTCGTGACTCTGATCAAAAAGTAAAGTAAGTCACAACGCGCGCGTGTTCACATATTCTCAATACAGAGCGAACGAACTTTTTGGTGTTCAATGTTTCCAATGTCAAAGGCAACACACATTCATCGTATCTGTATGATCGACTCCTAAGAAGAAGAAGAATATTTTTGTTTTGTTTTGAAAGCATATAAATTACAGTGAAAAAGGACTATCAAATAGCAAAAAAGTACAGAGAAAAGAGCATTTCGTATATATCTTCGTTTTCTACTTTAAAAATGGGTAAATATAAATCTTTGTGTCAACACATTTGAAAAGTCTTTTCTAACAGAAGAAAGGCAAAAAGACAGTAGTCACAAATCTATATCGAAAAAAGTTATTGCTGGCTAAAAAAAATGTTGATTTGTAAATTAAACTCTAACAAACGATATCATAATATATATGCTTCAATGAAAAATATTTTTCTCTTTCGCTGTTTTTCTTACGACGATTTTCTATTAATTTCATAATACATTTAGAGTAGTATTTTACATGTAGATTAGTTTTTTTCTTTCTTGAAGAAAAATCGGACTCGTGCGCTCATACGTAGCGTCCGAGACAGACAGAGTAAAAAGTATGAAATGAATGGCGGCGGACTGTCATTCTCTCTCTCTCTCTCTCTCTCTCTCTCTCTCGCTCCATTTAATTACAAGCGCACTTCATTTTGAACTTGTTCTATCAATTCCTTCGTTCTTTTCGTTACACTTTTTGATCATTTTGCTCATTTTCGTCCATTTCCTTATTAATTAAACTTTGAATTTGTCTCATCAATATACAACATACTTTAAGGCACTTACAATCGCCATTGCATTGTTTTTACTTTGTGGCACTCTCTTCTCTGTGTGCGTACATATTCTTTACTTGTCATCTTTGTGTAGAATATGACTTCCGGCGTCACAAAAAAAAATAATACAAATAATAATAATAATCGGAAATCATTTCCATTTCTAGAGAAACAGAAAATTTCAATAATAGGATTGTATACAAAAAAAACTACACATTCTAAACATATAACACTATATATATATAGCTTTTTTAGCTTCTTGTGTGTATTTTTTTTGTATTGTTGCACATATCAAGATAACCACGGCATTGATTGAATTAAGGCACTTCCTTCGTTTGTTGTTGCTTTGCTTGTTTTACACATGCGCATGCATTTGAATACAAAAACCGCCGGTTTACGTTTTTTTTCGTATTCCCACAATTTGTGTTAAGAAACATTAAATGACTTTGGTGTCTTGCTTTTATGTGCTACATAGTTTTAAGGGTTGTTATATTGTACGTGTGTGTGTGTGTTTTTTTGTGTATTTTCTTTGTTTCGCAATTTTCAATTTGCATCTTAATTGTTACGGTTATTGAATGCGTTCGGTTGAAACTTTTGTTCGCGAAACCGTTTGTATACATGCACATATAAACGATAACTACTAGTTGAATGTCTGCGCAAGTTCTTTCTATTCTGCTTATGCGCCTTATAAAGTGCGTATTTATTGTTTACTTCCATAAATGAAAAGGCACATGAATTTCTTTTTGTCTCTAATGTATCTTTCTTATGACTGAAATCAATTATCGGTTTAAAATCTAATCAAACAAATTCATTTAAATCGCATTGTGGTTGGTTTAAAACACATGCACACACCTCTTCTTGTAAATAGTAAACTAAACACTATAAAATTAATTCGACTTAATTACAAATTAGAAATGTATATTTACGGTGGCGTCTGTGCTATTTGTTGTTTCCATGTAAAACTATTTGATTTTATGTGATTCAATTTTGTTTTGCCGTTTGTTGATGTTGTTTATTGAGCTATTGAAGTGTGTGTGTGTGTTATTACGATTGTGCAGAAATTGAGAATCAAAATGTATGATTTGTTGACATTGCTATCGTTTTTCATCGAAACAATTAACAACGATTTACGATCCACGTAAATTGTTTCAATTGATGAAATCCACCTCGCATATTTTTTTTTTTCACATTTACATATTCATCATTTTTCCGGAATATGCCGTGTAAGCCGAATTAAACGAAGAAAATTTCCAAAAGTTTTGATTGTATAGTGAGAACGAAAATTGATGACGATTTTTCTCTTTGTATAGTAGATACAGATTTATCACGTGCACATAATCTTCAAGTGTTCTTTTTTCCGTAGCATTGAAGATTGGCCGGCACCACCCGATCGACTTGTGTTCCGCTAAAGTGATTGAAGATGATTGCAACTTTGTTATTGGGAGTCGTTGGGTTTTATTTTTGAATTGACTGGCAGTCGAACGGGCACGTGACTGTATTGTGTGCTGATTTGTATGTTATCAACAACGACGACAAATGTCGGATCAAAAGTCGAATAATTTTTTTTCTTGAATCAATAATTAACATGAACTGATAACATTATTTATGTTTATATGCTACATAATTTCTTCGATGTATATCTCCTTCCATTTCTATCTTTCTCATTTATATTGTGTCCTAATCAAACTAAAAGCTAGCAAATATAAATTTAAACCGATGACTTAAGTAGAAGAATTAAACAGATGATTTTGAGTACAGATTTCTTTTTTTTCGTTTTCAACCTCATGTCACTAAAAAAACACTCTTTATGTGCAGTATTCGTTGTTATTTGTTCTATTATAGATCTATTGTATATTAGTGTGTTTATTTTTTTCGTCACAGTGAATGAATTGAGGTATCTAAACTCGCGTGATGGTGCCGTTTTGAATACTCTCATATGCATTCGTTTGATTAGAAAAAGTGATAGTTTGACGTTTGTAAAATATGGGATTGCACAGCGGCGCTAAAGAATAGAGTATGCGGTTGCTCATTTAATTTCTGTTTCAATTTAATCGACGTCTGGGGTGACTAGGCCGTTGCACAAGGTTTTTTCTTCTCTTCAAAAAAATCATCTATTCGTACATCGTCTGTTTATAAATCGTCCAATTCAACATTTTATATCCAAGTCAACGGTTTTGAATTTTGAGTATCTATTAAACTGTGCATGTCGTCAAGTAAATCATTGCTGAATCCTTCACCCAACTGTAAAAAACGACAAATATTTTATTCGACATTGTATGGGTTGTTTTTTTTTAATGTAAGTTTTAACTCACCTGTTGCAATGATGGTACTAAGTCATCAGTTGCATCTATATTGGCACTCATTTCCATTGTACCACTTTCTGAAATAAAAAATGCCAAAAAAAAAAAAAACACAAAACGTTGAGATTCCAAACGTTGAAAATGCTGTACTTCAATTTTGGCAATTACCGCTAATGCAATCCATGCTATCGTCCATGTTGCTGAGGAAATCGGGTGTGTGTGGCATTGAGTAGTTGTTTGACGATAAACTGAGACCACTGTCACCAGATTCTTGACGTGTATGATCTGTAACACCCGATAAAAATGGATCCATTTGTAAACCGATCGTCTGTTGATTTTGACGTGCAACAAAATCCTATATTTTCATAATGTGAAGAAAACGAAAAATAAAAAAATAAAATCCAACTTCGACATATTTCTTTTCAAACTCACTTGGTCAAACGACACAATTTCCTGTTGACGTTGCTTGTACGAATCCACTTCACGTTTTAGCTGATGAATACTGATGTTAAATGTATTTGGATTTATTTCGACTCGTGAAGCGCTCAGTGTGGTGGCTCGCTGAAATTGTTCCGCTATAAAGGTGAATGCCAAACCGAAAAAACAAACACAAAATGGGATAGAAAAAAAACCATACCATATTAGTATATGAAGAGTATTTGTATGTAATAGGGAAAAGGAGATAAATGGGATAGCAAAAAAAAATTATGGATGAATGGACGATATATTCCAAGCAAACAAATTTTTAATGTTTTTGGTACATTCTAACGTTGAAAAATGAAATGTTTTGGCCCATTCTGGTGGTCATTTTCGTGTCAAATGGAACGGAGATTATATGCATAGTTTCCACGAATTCCAATGGAATGGAACCACTTGTTTCTTTCACTTCCAATAATATTTCATTTGACAACATTATGTGAACACAACCCAATACATTAAGTTTTAAATTGCAAATCTAACGATTCATTTGTTTATTATTCACGCACAATTAATTTGAAAATAGATTTGCGTAATTTGATTTGAAATTCTGGAGAAGAACATTTCTTATACGTCATTTATTTTTCTTTGCTTCAAGTGTTGAAATAGAATTTTGAATTTTCGAAGTGCAACCGAATCTTTCTGACATTTTTCGGTTGACGCACACATATACGAACGATATTTGTATATATTAAATATGTGCTCTGCATTCAAAGCGTTCGCATCGTGTGACAGTATTGTTAATATAAACAAATGCTTTCATATGATTTTTAGCATCGTTCTGTTTTACATTCTCAATTCTTAAGTGACGCAGCAAAATATTTGAATTTCGTTGTCAATATCGGAAGTATTTCACAACATGGGATAAAGATTCCAATCGTTTCCTTTATAAAGGTATTAATACATCGAAATATTGTTCAAATATATAATAGAGACTCTATCATAATGAAATCATCAACTAGGGATAACGTGGAAATATTTTGGTTGGTATTGGTTATTATTAGTTGACAGTTTTTACAACGAGCTGACGACACCAAATATTGGCATCGAATGCATCAGAGTTAGCTGAGATTTCAACGAAGTAAGTCGCTTCATAAGAACTCGTTGTGGTTGTCATTTTGTGTGTTTTAGTCAATAGTTTACATTGTTTGTCATATGAATTTCACAATCGAATGCAAATCGAATTCGATAAAAATCTTGAATACAATTGCATTTGATACCGCATTTTTTTACGGTGATTGTAACAGTGTTGTTGAGTACAAAAAAATGATTTTTTCTTAATTTTCATTAGAATCACAATGGCAAAAAAGGGTGGGCCCAAAATTTTTGGCGGTGTTCCAAGAAAGAAAGCAAAACAAGAAGAAAAGAAAAAGAAGGAAGAAAATGCCGAAATACGAACACGTAAAGTATTCGCCAACTCAATATTCAGAGATGAATATGCAGATTACCTCGTCGATCACTTTTATCGCAAATGCTTGATAGCAACAAAAATATCGTATCTGGCGTCACTTTTATTGCTGTATAAAGTCAACGAGGCGTTTGATATCGATGATTTCGATTATTTTATTAAAAATAATAAAACAAATGGGCAAAAGAAATTCGTCAAATTTTCACCGCTGTGGCACACATCGATGGTGTCTTTGCAAATAAAATGCAACAACGAATTTGAGTGGCCATCTCGTGAGCTGATGGGAAATGCATTTGAGTATATGCATAATGCATCAACAATACCTCAGCAATGTGACAACACAGCAAACCACACATTGCGAGAAGGAATTGGCGTACTTCTTGCAAATGAAGCGCTACCAATTCATTCAGGAACCTTACAGATTATTCAAATTTGATGACATCGACATCCGAAACGCAATCGAAAGCATTATGCGCAATAAAGACTGGAGTGAAGGCGATCCAGTTCGAAAATTCAAAATGAATGAGCTGTTTGTTGCGGTGAAAGAACGTTGTTTACCATCATTTGGCGATTATCTCACAATGACTCAATACATCGAGAAAAAGTGGTTTGAATCACTTTATTTTTTCATCCAAATACAACGTGAAATTAGTGAATTCAAGGCAGAACATCAACAGCCAGTGCATGCATGGCTGCGACACAAGAAAAAACCATTGTTGTTCGAAAAACCGACGCAACCACTGCCGCCAAAGATTCGCAATATCACCGTTGTACCGTTATGTGATAATAAACTTAAACACAACAGATTCGATCATAAGGATTTGTTAGCACTATTGGCTCGATGGAAACTGATTCCAGAAGAATTTGGTGGCAAAGATGAAGGAAGTTCTTTATATAGCAACAATCATTTTGAAGAAAACCCATACGACGCTTGGAATATTTTATTCGACATGAAGAAAATAAATGAACTCAAAAGACCAAACCAGCAATTTCACCGTATGATTGTGTGCGATAGCGTTTCGGCTTCGGTACTATTCGAAACACCAAAACGTGAGAAGACCGAATTCAATCGCGAACGAATCAAACAAAAACTTGAAGCCGGTGATTACACGTATATCATCCCACTTGATCCCGGCGTGAACACATACTATGCTGGATTTCGTCGGAACATTGGAACTTGTGTCGAAGCAAGTTGATTAAATAATGTTTTTTTAAATTTAAATTTCATAATTTTCTAGATTCAATGTATTGATTGTTTTTATTTTGGTTTCATTAAAGGAAAACATCAAAATATCACCGAAGCAATATCATTGGGGTGCACGACAAGGTATTCAGGACAAGAGAGCAAAGCGCATGACAGCAACATTCACGAAGATGGAACAGTCCGATCGCGAGGAAAACTATCTAGTAATACCATCACCGCGTGGAAACGGCTGGATATACTATCTCGATCATCGATTGAAAATGATGCAGGATGGATTGGCGGCATATGCTCGGCGACGATATGCACGGCTATCGTTGGACAAGTAGATCGACTCACAGCATGAAACCGATTGGTTAGCAAAATCATTGACAAAGAATAAGCCATCGCTGTTTACCATTGGAGACGCGGACTTGCCAGCCAATTCACCAATCGGTAAGAAGAAGATCAAACGATGCCCGGAAACACGACGTCTTGAAAATAGCGTCAAAAAAATACATCATTCAGATGTCGTTAGAGTGGATGAAACTTACACATCGCAACACTGTGCCAGTTGCATGGTGAAGTTCCCGAAAGAAACGAAAAAATTCCGATTCAAAGCATGCAAAAATTGTCCACGCAATGCTCCAATACCATCGAAGATTGCCAAATACATGTCGCTGCCGCCGCTAATTGTGTCAAAAAAGGGCTCACGGCGCAAAACGTTGGACCGTTGTGTGAAAAAGTTGATCGACAAAGGTCTGGTGAATCAAGCAAATCTGCCAAAAGAATCCAAACCAGAGCGATTAGCGTCACCCAAAATGTACTATTGGAAAACTGGCCGCTAAACTCTGTGAATGCACTTCAAATGGGAGACGATGCTGCGAACACAAATGATCATCATCAACAACAACAACAAAAACAACCGGAACAAGAACATGAATATCGAAAGCTGCGATTTACCATTGTTTGGCATCGAGACATTGTTGCGGCAAGGTGCATAATGTACAAAGGTACAATTTTTTGTAGTAATTTATTTTGAATAACATTAACTCAAATTCATTGATTACAGCTCTGTGTTTCATTTTCGATTTAACATTGAGATGAGACCACCACAACCTCGAAGACCACCGTATCGTGAAAAACCACCGGTACGCAGACAACCAAGAGGAAATGCAAATTTTGTTCCAGTCCAAGTAAACAATAATGATCAACCAGCATCAATCAATTGAAGAAAAGAAAACATGTTAACTAAAATAGTTATTACCAAAGCTTGTATTTTGTGGCTTTGATTTATACATAATATCTGAGATATTATGTATAAAGTACCCCACGGTGAGAATAATTTTACCAACTAATTGATTACAATTTTTATTGGTGTTGATTTTGAAGCTCTATTTTAATTAACATATTGATTTCAATTCATTGGAAATTTTATGCATAACTCTTTTTGTCTCTTTTTTTCATTCCATTGTGACGTTAAATTCGACTGAAACAACACAGAACTGCAACACCGCATTCGACCATTAATATATACCCGATAATGGATGAATTTAATTGTTTAGTGGGTATTCCCACGATTCAATATGTTGTAATACGTACGTATTCTTGGATCGAACCATGACGTTGAACGAGTATTGTGATTGATAAAATAAATCTCACCAGCATTGGTAATTGCCTGCTCCCAGCCCTCAGGTAGTGGACCCAAGCCGGTACTTGGTTGCTGCGGTTTTGGAGCAGCTTTAGTGGCACAACCGAAAAAGAAACATAAATAAATACATTTTATTATCATTTTGCATATATATTTTTTGAGATAGAAAAATGTTTTAAATTTGGATGAACTAGAAATGTGTATATAGCCTTATTGATTTCCCTTTCACAAGAAGCCAAAAATGAAAGATAATATTTTCGATTCGATAAGAAGCATAGAACAATAGATCAAAAATACGTTCAGTTTTCAGAAAGAGCATATATTGAAAGAACATTATTATCAATTTCTCGGATTGATAATAAGCTACGCTAAAATGTTATTCGCTCTTTATCGATGTGTGTTTTTTTTTGTATGTTTTATTGCTATTCAAATGTGTACTTATTTTTAGATTACGTATTGTCAGAATGAAAACCATTGAATGAGCGAAAACAAAACACACACACACACAAACAAGTGAACAAAGTAGCGGTAGGAAGAAAAAAATGATATATGAAATGATCATCCTCGATATATTTTCAAATATATAATCGTCATGTGTGTGTGTGATTCAACAATGATAAAATGTAAGAACGAGACAGTGAAAAAAAAAAACGAAAGACGGGAAATTATATTTAGAGTGATACAAAAATAGATCACATCAGAAATTGAAAAAAAGCACCAACACGCCAAGTCGCCTGTAGTAACCGGCAACAGTGTAGCAAAGAGGCACACCGAGCAAAATGTAATCGCTGTGTATCGTGTTGACGTTTTTTTTTCTTTATAGCTTGGTCGTCGTCATTTTTACTTCGTTTTATGTGAAAGTTCAGTCATATCAATATACCGACGAAATGGACTTTGGAATTATTGCACGCTGTTGATGTGTCTAGTTCCATTGAACATCAGGCGAACCGCATCTGATCATAGAGACCCCAGAATACACTCAAATGAAAACAATCACATAAGAAGTTCAGAAATGAAGAAAACGAAGCGAAAAAAACAAACGCAGTGCAAATGCGTATGTTAGCGTATGTTAGTGTTAGCATTTTTTTCGTATTTTTTTACTGATGCCATTTTCTCAAAGAGTTTTTTTACGGGGATTTCAACTGGAATGAACGGAGTTAGAGCAACACACACGAGCAAAAGACAAAGAAAGAGAGAGCGAAAGTCAGGGAAAAATAAATACGAAGTTGTCGCTCAATTAAAGTGGTTTGATGTGTGATTACAGTGAAAACAAGACAGCCCAAGCCAAAATAAATAATAAACAACGACAATTTACTCTCAACTCTCGAGGTTTTTTCTCTCTTCAATGCTTGTAAACAAATAGTTAAATCCATTTCATGTAATTCAGTTTTCCGTGAATGATTTCATTTTTTTGACGTTTTTTTTTTCTTCTCTAAAACGATGCTTCATTTCAAAGATAAAGCTAGTTGATTAAACTTCACTTCAAGTAAACATGAGTAAAATGACTTTTAAAAAAACTTCTCAATGATCATTAATGATCAAATCTTTTAAAAAATTGATTGCCTTTATAATTTGTCAATAGATAAGGAGTGACCCCTTACTTCCTTGCGATCACTATGTGAGCAATTCCTTTGAGTCTCACAATATGCTCTATTTATTTGTATCTAAAAAAAATGATCAACAATGATGTTGAATTGTATGTTTGCTTCTCATTTTCACTATGTTCTGATATTATTTGCTGAAAAAGCGGTTGTTTGAGAAAAGTGCACCACACGCATTTCGCATGTACCTTTTGGGTCGAATCATGCACATACACACTCAAATATGAACGCGTCGCACATTCAATACACACACACACACACACACACACACACAATTCAAAGAATACAAACGATCATTGGTAATTGGTTGTGTGTTTGTATACATTGCGCGGCGATTCGACGTGCGCGATTCGCCATTTATTTATATAATAAATTTCTGTATGATTGTTTGTGCTGCTGGTGCTGCCGCTAGTTGCAAGTGAATGTTCGCCGTACGCAAAATGAAATACAATTAATGCGTGTCGTTGTCGCTGGTTGTTTCTATGGTATACAATGCGTATTAAAAACATACACGAACATGTTAAAAAAGTGCATTTCAATTGGTTCTTTTCACTTTTTCTGCATTTATCTATTGAAATTTGTGATTTGCTTACCTGATGATCGTATACATATTGGATTGATGGACCAATAAAAATCATTTCCTGAAAACTATTGATTTTACGATATATCGTACTGATACAATTAAATTCAAAGTATGTAGTACTTTTTTGGGGTCGACAACGAACAACAACATTAATTCTTTTTTTTTCTTAAATAAAAGTAAAAAGTTTTTCTTCAGTTTATTTACCCTCATATGCCACCTCCTACGCATAAATGTTTGTCCGACTGTAACCAACTATGATTGTTGAACAGGGACGCTTAGTTAACCGAACGATATCTGATCAATGGTGTATCCCCTAGGGGATAACCGTGAATTGCAGATCGAATAATTTATAATAATAAACGCTATTTCTCTCTATTTTTCACTAATTCTGCTAGTATTTCTACTAGTTTGTTCTAATACTGCTATTTTTTGCTAATTTCTCTAGTACGTCAAAAATATTGCATACGTCAGATTGACAGCATGATCGAATAACTGAAATGTGTTTACGTAAATGTTTCAAGTTGACACTTTCAACGTGTATATTTGAAGCAGGCACTAGCGTATACGTTTTCAGTAAGAAATCTGTCATCAAATCTACATTTCCGATTGCAATTCGTAAATTGTAGTTAATACAGATGAAACGTGCTTGGTTACGTGATATTGAATATATTTTTATTTAAAAATAAGAAAAAGCGTATTTAACTACATATTTTGATACATTTTAGTTCAACACTATTCAATTCGTTTGTTTTGTGAATTTTATTTTAATTAATTATTTCAATATATTCAAGAATAAATGCTTACTAAAGTATATACGTGTACAGTGCTAATTCTGCTATTTATTGCTAATTTTGCTATTTTCTTCATGTAAATTTCCCTATTTTTTGCTAATGTGCTAATTCTAATTCGCATGGATATCCCCTAGTGTATCCCGAATTATAACAATTTGCAAAATGAAAAATTTGCTTTTGTGACATTTTTTTTTTTCAACTCGAAATCATCATTAGAAAATTGTTTTAAAAAAATTACATTTCCGTTTTCGAAATGTACATTATAAAAAAGAAGTTTCTAAATGATTTTGAATGAATTCTCATCTTATTCGTATAGGAACAATATGATAGAATGCATCAACTATATGTTGGTCATTGCAATTAATTGTGAGAAAAAGAAAGAGAACACACAATAAACGACAACACAAACGATCGAAATACGTTTGTGTGCCCAAAAAATCTATCAGTGTAATTCAACACTGGTCAGTTTTTGGCTGCAATTCAAATCGTTTTTGAAAGGAAATTCTATGATGATTTTCGTAACAGTATCAGTGCATTCTCTTTACATTTTTCTTTTTATTTGTGTGGTAAATTATTTACTTATTACACACTCAACAAACGCACATACACAAAACAACCAGAGAATTTGTTTTTTTTGTGTCTCACTGTGTGCAAGCCATATTTTTTTTCTCATTCTCTTGAGCCCCACAACACCGTACCACAAAACAGTACGGTGTTAATGACATAATGTGTGCTTGTGATGATATACAATGGGCTTTTGAATGATCATTTGTTGTTGGCTCTTCTATCTATTACTGTGTGACTTTTTCTACAAAATGGCTATAACAGTTCTGTTCATGTTCATCTTTTAGAAAATAAAAACGAAATAAGAGACGTCTTTCCTATTTTCGAATAGAAGTCTCTGCATACTTACTTGGTTGTTGTAATTGTTGCTGCTGTTGCTGCTGCTGTTGCTGCTGCTGTTGCTGCTGTCGAATTTGTTGCTGTTGTTGTTGCTGAAGTGGTTGAAGCTGTCGTCGATGTTGACCTTTCAATTGAATAATAATAAAAACGAATTATAAGTTATGTGCCCTTTCATACAAAACCGATATTATTCAATCAAATATCGAATCAAAATCACCGAAAGATGTTTATCAGCAAATTGCTGACCATCAATTTTAAATTCAAATATGAAAGTATATATGATTGGCATACCTGGAACAAGTAATGATTCTGCACTATGTGTCAATGTTGGTTGTGTGTTCATTTGTTTTCTTGGATCTTCCCATTGCGTTGTTCTTGTATTGTGACTGGAATAAGGGAGAGAAAAATGATAGAAAATTTAATTTAATTTTTGATTACATGACAGAAAAAAAACCTACAACACTATGATCTTAAAATCTAATCATATGGGACACATGATGAGCCCAATGAAAAATTGGCCATTTAATTTTTAAATCTTATGCCTTTTTTCCTCCTGCGTGTGTGTATTATCCCAAGGGAAAAAAGATTCGGGAGAAGAGAAGAAAAAAAGTAACCATCATCAATTTGTTTTATTTTTCTCCTTCGCTCTTGTTCGATTATCCGTCTTAAAAGGACTTTGAAAAGGCTATAAAGCCTTGAAATTCGATCTATTAATTATGAACGTGTATGCACACGAAAAGTAAAAAAATAAAAAACCATACGAATAAAAAAAAAACTATACAAGACAGAGAAATGAAGTGACCGAACGCTCTGAATTTACAGACGGCAATTTGAATTAAGTATCTTCTTTCTCAATACGTCGTTGTGCATGTATGTGAATATAAATTGAAACAAGCCACAGGGAATGGGAAAGAAATCGAATCAACGAAAAAGAATTAAATACATAACATGCTTTGATCCAAAGCGATCTCATTTCCAGGAATTGAGCTCTCACACTCTATCAATGCAACAAAATATAAGCATACATGCACTAACAATAACAACAACACTAACATTCATTGAGAATGTAGGAGCGAGAGCCAGCGAGAGACAACGACAATGAACCAACGAACGAACACAGAAATGAAGAAACTATTCATAAGAGAAAACACACCGATCAGACGAAGTGAGTATGAAAATTAAAATGGCTCGTTTGATACAAGCCCAGGATCGATAAACACAACAACAAATCAACTGACATACGAAATCGATAAATACAATTTATACCTTGTTACCTATCGTTTTCGTTGTGTTTCATTCGTTGTTGTTATTTTCTCTTCTCTTCTCTTCTCTCTTCTGTTGTTGCCTACTCTTTGTGTCATCGTTTATTTAACAGAAGAAGAAGAATAAGAAGAAGAAGAAAAAAAACATCTCCAAAAAAAGAACGAAATGTTCGAACCACTGAGGGCTAAACGAACGACGACCACGACGATCATGTGAAGCAACAACAAAAAAGTATGATCGAAACAAACAATTCTTTTCATCTACTTAGTTATTCGTTTCTTTGCTCCTTTTTTCGTGCTCTCTCTTTCTCTCTATGTCTTGCTTAATACCCGATGTCCTTTTACGTTGTGCAGCTTAAGAGTGTTAGTGTGCGCCTTTGTTCCTTTTGACTGCTATTATTTATTTGCCGCTTATAACAAGTGATTCTGATTATGAATTATTCTTTTCTCATTTTGTGCGTATCGTTTTCTCTGTCCCACTTACTCTGTGTGTCTCTCTTTGTCTATAGGCTTCAAAAAAAATGTGTGAATCAAGGAATCAATGTTGTTGAACTGGATCGTTTGATTGGAGAGGCGCTTTGACGAAATTTTTATAGTTTCTATAGCATATGAAATCGGTTCTTTTCTTTTATTCTTTTTTTTCATATTCTCTAAATTCCTTTTTATATTTTTTAGCTCACGGGAATCGGATAGACCAAGAAATTGGTCTTTGCACAATAATCATTTTCTCAGCGAATTTCCAATGTGTATCTCTGCGTGTATGACATTTTCCCACTCAAATGTGAGACAAAAAGAATCGGATGGGAAAAAAAGTTGAACAAGTACCGAACCAAATTAAAGAATCGAAATTGAATGGCACTCAAACTTCTTTTTATCTTTTCACACACTATGCGGATTTTTCTTTTTTATCAAAACCAATTCGGCACTTGAAATTCGGCTGCGTAAAATTCACATTGGGAACGATGGCCAAGACAACTGATATATCGTTGTTTTACCAAATGAAAAAAAGCAACGTTTGGTTGATGGAAATCTCTGTCATCGTAACCCGGTAGCATATCGGAACAAAAGAGTGAAATTATATGAGAAAGAGCGGGTTCAGAGGTGTGCGCAAAATATGTTTATATTTCTTCTTTTTTTTTGCTTTTTCGTGTTTTTTTTTCGCTTCACATTGTGATTTTCACATGTTCATCAAATACTCAACCATTCGAGGTTACCATTGATCACCGTGTGAATGAATGAAAGTTTGCATCCAGTGCAATTGAATTCACATGAACTTTAACAAAAAGAAATAACAACAACAAAAACAACAAACGATATGTAATGACTGAAATCATGCTGCCTGAGATTCAAGAAATTGCTATGGCAATGTCGACAAATCATGTCTTGTAGTGTTAAGAAAGAAAGAATGAACAGAAAAAATATCTTCTGATTTTCGAGTTCACACAGAAAAGGCACGTTTTTTTCCTGTTTAAAGTTGCTTTCTTTCAACTTAAGCCCATATTAAAGGTTATTTGGTTGGTTCTTTTGTTCCAAACCAGATGAGAGCAACAACAGCAACAACAAAAAATGTGATTTGTATGCGAGATTGAAACAGAACCGAAAAATCAGCAAGACGACACATATATACACATGATTGTTGTTCGAAGGTGAGATTGATGAACGAGCTTGTTACAGAATAATTTTATAATTTCTTTCGTTTTATCAACAAAACGGGAAGTGCAATGAAAAGATAGTGTGTTCTCACACAAGAGAGAATAAATATTGCTGCATGCATTTAAGAAGATGCAAATGAGAAAATGCAGCACAGATTTTGAGCAGTGTAGAGCAGAAAGAGAGGAAAGTGAAAAACATGCCGACAAGAAATAAAAATGAATAATCTTCACCATTTTTAGGAGCAAAGAATATTAGCATAGTACGAGTGGAACAAGAGAGAAAGAAAAAAAAAACAAAAATTGTCCGAAGGAGTAAAAAAAGAGCACGAAGTTAAATGAGTCATCCAGTTCGTGATATCGATCACGTAAAATAACACCGATCGCAGAAAATTATATGCAGATTCATCGAAGCCCGATCATGGTATAGGATTTCCTATATAAACCTTGTAACTAACAACACCTCTAATGCGTATTCCGAGTACTAATCGAAGTTTGTGACAATATGGCCGTCACAGTTTGGCAAAATCATAATGAATCGATTAAACTGCGTTAAA